TGCTGATGCAACAATTTCTACTCTTTCAAATTCTTTGATTGTTTTAGGGGTCATTGACTGTTAACTTTTGTAAAGAGGCTTTCTGCCCCAAGTTAAAATAGCTAAAAGATTTCTATTCACTCTGTTGGCTTTGACAACATTCTCTGTGATATAATATTTGTAATGCACTTAGTACAGAGTCTAGTATATAGTAAGTGCTTAATAAAGCCTTGTTCCCTTCCCTTCTCCCTCTGCCTTCAAGGCATGCACTGGCAGTACCTGTTTACTAAGAGGGGCCACGGAATCCTGGTGAAGCTGCCTGTGTGAGGACAGCAGCTTTCCCCTATCCATGTCTGCCTTGGAAAGAGTATGCCGGGCTCAGTCAGGTGTAAAAGTTTGATAGATGGGCTTACTTGGAAATTCCTTCATCAGCTATGGAGAAGGTTTTAATGCCATGCAAGAGTCCACAGTCAGGTGATGTCTTTTGTTGGCTTCTCTAGCAAAGTAGAATAAATGGGCTGTCTCCAAAGCCTAAACTTCCAAGATACTCTTTACACCATCATTCCTACGTGGTAAATTTCTGCTTTTCTAGAAATCCTCTGAGGTTTTTATGGCTCTCCCAATTTCTTTAATAGTTAATAAATCCAATTGGAGCTTCCATTACCCTAAACCATAGAGTTTTTCAAGCAGAAGAATAATCTTTATTAGCCCATATGAAAGCAGACTCTTTAAACAGATAATGGCAATGAGAGGAAGGTTGTAGGAGTTACGCTTGAGAATGACAGATTTTTTAGCATTTTTCTCACCCTTCTAATTATGTTTTTTCCAGTAATTTTCATATTCTGCTTTATGAATAAGGGAGACAGAAAAGCCTAATTTATTTCATACAGCATAATTAGGAAAGTAAGATTGTGGAAACGAATGATCAGTTTCCCATTTTTCAGTATTTGAAATAGTTATAATCTTCATTTACACTCTGAAAGTATGGAAAGCAAAGGGGAGAAAGGAAGTTATGAGTATGTTGGCTATTTCAAATCCTGAAAGGTTTGTTACTGGACACATATACATAATAAAAGTAAGAAATTAAGGAGAATATTGAAGTAAAGGGAAATGCATCAATGAGACTCCACTTGGGTTTCTTTATTCTTGCATTTTATCTGTTTCTTTCATTTGCATACGAAACCAAAGAATTTTGTGGGGATAAAAACTTCAGGAAAAATCATCAAGACTCAGGCTCAGACATCCCTTAGCATTTTTTTTAGGATAGTCAATAAAAAAATGGCTCTCCTACTTAAAAAAAAATGGCTTCTCTTTTTCTTTTTTTTCTTTTGCAAGGCAATTGGGGTCAAGTGACTTGCCCAGGGTCACACAGCTAGTAAGTATCTAGTGTCTGAGACTGGATTTGAACTCACGTCCTCCTGACTCCAAGGCCAGTGCTCTATCCACTTTTACCACCTAGCTGCCCCCAAAAAATGGCTTCTCAAGAAACGCATAAGGAGTTAAGTGGGAGTTACACAGAATTTCTAACTTTAAGTCAGGTAGTGGTGTGAAAACATTGACTATTATTCAAACCCAGAAACAAGGGGTTCAGAACTGTAAAATACCTGAAGGTTCTACTTAACTGGCTAGCAAGCTATTCTGTTTTCCTGAACAACTTGGTTACTATAAATTAATACTTTTCTCCTGGAGAGGAAAATTGCCCATAGCTAAGACACTGGGTACTGACATATTTTCCCTTAGAGAAAGAAAGCAGGAGAGGATTTTTTCTAGCTTGATATTGGGTGTGCAAAAGACCTCCTGCCCTTACTAAAAGAGATGAAACTGAAGCATCTGGATTCACAGGTAAATTAGAGATAATGGAGTCTATTCTTCTATTTATGTGAAATAAGACCTCAGTTGAAGTCTTTAGCTAAACCCATCCTTGGAAAGAAGTTCCATAATGATATGTCCAAAGAACATATCTATAAGATTGGGGAACAATCAGTCAGAACAAGCATTTATTAAGTGCTTACTATATGTCAGGCAATATACTAAGTTCTGGAGATGCAAAGAATGGCAGAAATGAGCTCCTGTGCTCAAGGGGCTTGCATTTTAATGGAGGAGTTCTCTAGCAGTGACCAGAAAGTCAACAGAACACTACCTGCTACAGGACATACCAGGAGAGACCAGCAAGGAGAAGACCCAGCACAAACAGCATGATTACTTCACCAGAAGACATAGAAGGCCCAAGGTCAGAGGAATTAGTTACTTCCTGTGCAGATTATGCCCTGGCCAAATGAATTTCTTTCATATCTGTTTCTCTACATGAACATATTTACCACGGATTTCCATTCATGCATGTTTCTCCATACAGATTTCCTAAATATGTGCTTTCTCCCACCAGCGCCTTCACTCTTCAGACTGGCCTCCACCATCATCAAGACCCTAGGAAACCTTATCACCAGGAAACTCATAACCATGCAAGATTGCATCAGCTTGCTACTCATACCTCATCAGTACCCCCAGTGCATTCTGCTTCTGAACTTCTGATTGGAGGGTTGGAGCAAAGCACTCCTTCCAAAGCCTCCATTTCAATGGTGCTCTGAGGCCACCCAACTCTTAATTTTCTTCTGGCTGCACTCCTCAAACTGGACTCCACTTTCAGGTACCTTCTTCCCCTATTCCTTTTAATCTTGATTTTGTGTGCTGTCTTCTCCCTTTATCTTGTTGAAAGGAGACAGTATTTCTTTTTCTTTTGTATACTTTGTACCTATTAACAATATTCAATCAGCATAGTAGGTGCTTAATAAATCTTTAACAACTGACTTCTTCCCATTGATGATTATATATATATATATATTATATATGTAAATACACACATACACACACACACACACACACACACACACACACACACACACATATATATATATAAAGAATATGTTCCAGGTTTATATTGAAATTGTTCTGTTATTACTTTTACCATTGTATTGTTTTATTAATTTTTTTCAAATTAATTGTCATCTAGCTAACTTGAAAAAATTAGCACTTGTAAGTGGGGGCTTACAAGTTGAGATTTTCCTCTGAAGTTACAGATTGTATGGTAACAATGTCCTTTCAACTTCACATTACATTGGAAAAGGAAAACAATTATTCTCTGAAATAGTAAAGAATATTATTTCTGAATAAACAAAGAAGGACTCTCATTAAATGTAAACATATAGAATAAAACCGTTTCAGAAAATCAATCTATGAATATAATATATAACATTCACATCATAATTATAACTATAATAATATTTAAGTGGGAAATTAGAATATCTTAATGTATATCATGGTAGGAAAAGCCAAAGATCTAGTTAAGATTTTTGAAAAAAATAGCTACAGATGAGGAGAGGATATTTTTTATAAGCCAATTTCAAGACATACTATTTAAGTCTTTGTTACAAACATCTCTTAAGTGTGGAGCCTACTTTTATCTCAAGAAATTAGCTGACTAATATTTCACAGTCTAACTAGATGCATACTCCCTTCTCCCAACTATGCAGAATTAAGTATAGTGAAAAAGAAAGACTTTCAAGTGGAAATTTATTTTTGCTGTTATTACTATAAAAAACTTTGCTGTTTCTGAAGTTTTCTTCTTTCTTTAAAACTTTTTAAGATAGCTAAGTAAGCATCTGCTAGGGATTATTTAGATTTGGTTCTTCATTGTAGTGAAAAGGGAAAGAATCTGAATTTTGAGTCAAAGCACCATGTATGGGGTGGCTAAACAAATATTTTGCAGTTACTTCATTTCTGCATTGTCCAAACAATTCACAAGGACCAAATGACCTCTCCAGCTAAGCATGGATTTCCTTAATCCTTCAGTTGCAGGATCCTCCTGGTACTGGAGTTCTCCTTCTCAGAAGTATGTGTTTGCAAAAATCACCTCTTTCTGGATGGCTTGGCACTAATTCAGGAATTAAGGGACTCTTGAATTTACAAGGAAGCTGACTAGGCTGGACATATATGATGGGTATGTGATACTCCTAAGACAAGGATGATGAATTTCAGGAGCTTAGCTTTCAGAGTAGAAACATGCTCTTTGCTGGCATCCTTTCCCCATGAATATCCCAGGTGGTAGCAGTGAACAATAACTCGAGACTAGTGTCATCAGGAACCCGGCTATGCAGGGATGTTTGAGAACTAGCTCCAATAGGCTAGGTAGGGAGATCCAAATTGTTAATTTTTCAGTGACAGCTTATTCACCTCAGGAATCAGGAAACACTACAAATCAGGGCTTTATTTATTCTTTTGTTGGTTGTCTAGACTTAAGAAAGTGATGGAGAAAATGGTAATAATATAAATTAATCCTAAAATTGTGTCATGTATGCATTTTTTTTTCTTTTCCAGAGAGCCAGTTAAACATTTACCACACATTTCTGAAATTTGAGGAGACCTTATTTCTGCCTTCAAAACATATCTTATATCCCCCTTCTCTTCTCTGACAGTCTCATCATCCTGGTGTAGGCCTTTATAATTTCATACCTGCCCACTGAGGCAGCCAGCTGGTTTATATCCTTGCCTTCAGTCTTTCCCCACTCTAGTCCCACCTCCACTCAGGTGTCAAATTGATCTTCCCAAAGTACAATATGGTGATGTCCACCTCCCACTCAAGCAATCAACTCCGTTACTCCTTACTGTCTCCAAGATCAAATATAAAATTCTTCATTTTGCTTTTAAAACACTCTATAACCTGATCCCTTCTTAGCTTTCCAGTCTTTTTACTCTTTACAACCATCCCCTCTACCCCCAACCCTCAATACTTTTGTGATCTAGTGACACTTCCAACTAGCATCTCCATCTCCTGATTCCAGACATTTTCACTTGCTGTCCCCCATCCTGGTGACTCTTTCCCTCTTTATCTCTGCCTCCTAATTTCCCTGACCTCTTTTAATTTTCAGCTAAAATCTCACCTTTTGCAAGAAGCTTTTCCCAGACACCCTAAATGCTAATGCCTTCCCTTTGTTAATTATCTCCAATTTATCTTCTTTCTATCTTACCTATACAGTTGTTTTACATTGTCTCCATGGTAGACTAAGCTCCTTGAGGGCAGGGACTGCCTTTTACATTTCTATGTCTTCTCCAGAGCTTAGCACAGTACAAGAACCATAGTTGTTTGGTTGTTGCTGCTCTTATTGTTTGTCCTTCATGCTTGAAGAGAATCAAAATGACATCACAATGGCCGGGTTAATGTATAGTGTGTCCAGCTGTGGCTGACCATAGTAATACAATCGTGAAGGTTCTACCACAGGTCAGGCACAAATAGTCCATATGCCAATTTGGGAAGATGTCTCTAAATTTTCAAATCTCACATTTCTTTTGAGCTATCCCAGTCCTGCTTTGCTTGTAGAGCACAATACGATTTTTGATGCAGGTACACCATGCTGGACAGTCCTAGGCCAGTGTCTCCAAAATTATACCAAAGTTCTTCAGAGAGACCTTGAAAGTGTCCTGTAATCAATTCTTCTGACCTCCATGTGAGTGGCTGCCTTGTATGAGTTCTCCATAAAATAATTTTTTAGACAAACATATGTTTGACATTCAAACAACATGTCCAGCCCATCAGAGTTGTACTCTCTGCAGTAGGGTTTGAGTGCTTGACAATTTGGCTTTAGAAAGGACCTCAGTGTCCAGTACCTTATCTTACCAGATGATCTTCACAATCTTCCTAAGACAATTCAAATGGAAGCAGTTCAATTTTTCTGGCATAGTGCTGGTAGACTGTCCAGGTTTCATAGACATGAAACAATGAAGTTACCACAACAGCTCTGTAGATCTATAGTTTGGTAGGCAGGCTAATACTTCTCCTCTCCCACACTTTCCTTTTGAGCCTCCCAGACATTGAGCTAGCTTTGGCAATGCATGTGTCAACTGCAGCATCTATGTGGACATCCCTGGAAAGTATATTGCCAAGGTAAATGAACTTATCCACAGCATTCAAAATTTCTCCATTTGCTATATCTGATGGTTCCACATATGGGTGGTGTGATGCTGGCTGATAGAGAACCTATGTTTTCTTGGTATTGATTGCAAGGCCAAAATTAACACAAACAGCAGAGAATCAGTCCATACTTCACTGCATCTCAGCCTCAGAGGCTACATCTGCAAACAGAAAGTCATGTAACAAATTTCCCTCCACTTTCATCTTGGCTTATAGCTTTTTCAAGTCAAATAGTTTACCATCAGTGTGGTAGTTGTCTTTGATGCCATTTTTGTCCCCCTTTAAGGCATCTGACAACACTGCTGAAAACGCTATGCCAAAAAGTATGAGAGCAAGCACATAGCCTTTCTGCACTCCACTGATGACTAGGAAAGAACAAGAGCATTGTCCATAATCTAGAACCTTTATAAGCATGCCATCATGAAACTGGCATACAATACTGATGAACTTCTGGCAACAAAATTTCACTACGATCTCCCACAGATCTTCATGACTGACAATATCAAAGGCCTTGTTTTGATAGACAAATGAACAAATGTTGTATATAGACCTCTGTTCTGTTCCTGGAATTTCTCCTGGAGTAGTTGGGCAGCAAATACCAGGTTGACCATTCTTCAGTACTTTCTGAAGCCATAGTGGCTCTCAGGTAGATGACCATCTTCCAGGCAAAGGATTAGACAATTTAGGAGATCTCTGGCAAGAATCTTGTTAGCAATGACTAAGAGAAAGACCCCTCTGTGGCTGTCACAGGACAACCTATTTCTTTTTCCTTTATATAGATGGACAATAGAGGCATCCTTGATCTCTGGAAGAATAACCTTCTCTTGCCACGTAACCCAAAAGACTTCTGTCAACTTTTGTATGGGCAGTGTACCCCCTGCCTTGTAAATGTCAGTTTGAATAGAATTAGCACCAGGCACTTTGCCACATGAGAGGAGCCTAATGACATTCAAAACCTCTTTTTCAGTTGAAAGTTTGGCTAGGGAAGGATTGATTTCAATGTGAGTAAATGGGCAATAGCTTCAGCATTGGTTGATGATATTATGTTGAGAACACTATGAAAGTGCTTTGCTCACCTCTCCAGGATCATGTCCTTGTCATTGATCAGGATGGTTTCATCAGCACCGAGTAGTTGAGATGATCCCATAGCAGCCTTTGGAGCATCATAAAAATGCTTTGGATTATTACTTTCAGCATAAAACAGAATCTCATCTGACTTCTTACTGAGCCAAGAATCTTACATTCTTCTACGCTTTGCTTGCACTTTACTTTCAATGAGGTTAAATCCTATCTTTTTAGAGATGTATAAATTTTCCTCCTTGTAGACTGTATAAAGTTCTCATTTTTCATTTAGCAGCTTCTGAATTTCCCCATCATTTTCATCAAACAAACACTGATGTTTGCAAATATTCTGACCCAGATGAGCAAGTGCAGTTCTGTATACCAAATCCCTGAAAACTTCCCACTCCTTTTCTGTACCACTGTTGCCAATACTGTGTTGGCTCAGCTTTCCCTTTAAGTCAGTAACAAACTGTTCACATTGAGAAAAATTCTAATCTGTTGATGTTGAGTCTTCTGATAGTCATTATGCTTTGGGGATGCCACTTTTGTTTAAATGTGAATGGTTAGCTTGGAGAGAATAAGTCTCTGATTGGTCCTCCACTCTGTACCACACATTGCATTTGTCAGGAACATGGTAAGTGCTTAATAAATGCTTGTTGATTTGATGGTGGGTAGGAAAGAGAAGATGAAAGTAATTTTGCTAACTATTATAGGATAAATTAATATTTTATGATTCTTTTAAAGATGTTTGACTTTTTAATGCTGTTATTGTATAAATTGTTTTCTTGGTTTTGCTCTCTTCATTCTGCATCAATTCATAAAAGTATTCCCAGGTTTCCCTGATATTGTTGTTTTCATGATTTCTTAGTGTTCCTTTACATTTATAAACCATAGTTTGTTCTTGTTTTGTTCAGTTGTTTCAGTCATGTCCAACTCTTCGTGACCCCATTTGGAGTTTTCTTGGCAAAAATACTGGAGTGGTTTGCCATTTTCTTCTCCATCTTCTTTTATAGATGAGAAAACTGAGGCAAACAGGGTCAAGTGACTTGCCTGGGGTCACACAGCTAGTAAGTATCAGAGGCCAGATTTCAACTCAGGAAGATGAGTATTCCTGATGCTTAGGACTGACATTCTATCTACTGTGCCACCCACCTGCCCATGATTTGTTCACTCATTCTCTAATTGATAAGTGTCTCCTTAGTTTACAATTCTTTTTCCTAAGAACTCTGATAGATGCAGTCATGGTACCTGCCAATTGACAAAGAGATAATGGACTGAGAGTGTAGAATGAGATATATATTTTTTTGGACATGACCAGTGTGAGAATTTGTTTTTGTTTGACTATGCTTATTTGTTACAAGGCTTTTGTTTTTATTCTGTCTTTCAATGTGTATTTGGGTGGGGGAGGGAGAGGGAAGAGATTTTTATCGAGAAAAATATATAAATGGAATTAATAAGTAGAAGCTTGCAAAAATTTGAGTCAAAGATACTATTTTACAACTTTGGTTTTTGGAAAGTTTTGAAAGACATTTTTATTTTATGGGATTTGATTTCCTACCCTGTTAGTAACTGAAGATACTGAATCCTTGGTAACACAGAATGATTTCCTGTGGTTTAATAGAGTAGGCTTAAATAGTCCAGAAAATACATTGTCAAATATTTATGTGAATTTAGGATGGTGTTAGAACTTACTTTTCAGTCATCAGGTATGAAAGAGGGTGGGAAAAACATAGGGTAGCATATTATTCTGTTCAAGTGGGGAAATGCCTTATTTCTTCTCATAACCAATTCCTTTCATTCACAGGGGAGTGCTTTGACTACACAGTGATAAGGTTGAATACCTTTAGCTTATTGCAGTAATTTGTAATCATTTATAAGGTTGCTGAATAATAATTTTATTATTGTTGTTAGGAGATGAGTCCATTAGGATACACAATAACTGCCAACTGTTCCTCCTTTATAGCCCTGGAGAATGAAAGTTATGATACCAATTGTTGTTTTCCAGGAGGCATCAATCGGCTCTTAATTGGCAATGCCAGCATTATATTAGGCGGAATATAACTATTTGAAGGCACTTTTTTTTTGCTAGGCACATTAAAGGGTCATTAAAGGGTTGTTTTCTTGCGGGATGTCTTATATTTTCACTTCTCTAGAACTCTGAAAATTATAAACTTGAAGAATCTCAGAGTCAGAAGAGACCAACTTCAACTCATAGAGTCTGACCTACACCTGAGCAAGGATCTTCTCTATCACATCTCCCCAAAATAATCATCTTGCCTTTACTTGAGAACCTCAAGTAAGGAGGAACCCTCTACTTCCTCTTTGCCTTCACTGGTCAGTTTCTGGTTCTCCATGTTTTCAATCTGTCTTTGCCATCTTCTTTATTCCCCATGAGTTCCTTTCCTTGCCTTATTTAAGCTGCTCATAGATTTAACAAATCTATGGCTTTTGAAGCTTTTTTTGAATGGAAGTTTTTCTCTCTCTTGGATTTAGAGATGGATTTGTCCTATTTATTACTCAACAAAATCCAGGGCTCTAATACTGCCTTCCCAGTGCTGATTTGTGTTTTAAGTAGAAAATGTTTTCTTATTTATATTTTTGAAAAGGTGATTGGACTGAGCTCTTTCTATAATGTAAAGATCATTATCTATAAGCATGCAGTCTAATGGAAAGAACCAAGAGCCTTGGTGCAAGAGTGAGGAAATCTGAATCTTAATTTATATGCTAATCTCTGTCACTTTAAGCATGTCCTCTGGCTTCACTCTTCACTTTCCTCATTTCTAAAATGTGCATAATGATGACATTACCTAATACATTTCTGATAATAAAATGAGTTTTACATGTGTGTACATATAAGCACATACACACACATATATATATATATATATATATATATATGTTATATAAACTAGACATTGAATACATTAATAAGGCATTGTGGGGTTCTAAAACTAAATTGAGTTGTGAATATGGGCATAGACATGGACTGAGGGTGCCTCAAAAGATCCAGCTTGCCTCAGGAGATACCACAACATAGGACTCTTTCTATTAGACTTTCCTTCTGGGAAAGAACCAATGATAATTCTTATCCCTGTGTATTCTAAGCATATCTGACCCACACAGACCTATATG